GATAACGAGGAACATTCTGCCAGCGCGTATATTAGGTACGGGTGGCATACCGATTATCGGACAAACAGCAATTGGTCTCGTGGTCAACAGATTTGGTTCCGGACCACTAACTAATAATTTATCGTATGCGGAGAATTCGTTATGCCCTAGTGATAGTACGGAGGAAGATCTTTTGAATCGTCGTTTCATCATGAGTTCATTGAGTGACAATGAGGACATTTAACGTTTATTATCAACCCGATCAACTGATGACGCATTTTTGAATTATAAAATTCATTTATAGTAGATAAAGAGAATAATATAAAATAATTATTATTACTACATTCTTATATTAAAGAAATCTTGGACTTGGTAGAAAACTTTGGCAATTAGAATTGTAATTCGTCCTAATCATGAAAAAAAGATTTTACATTGAGAAAAAGTGTACTGATTTGAGTGTATGTATGTATGTACATATGCATATAATATATATGTGTGACTGTTCTTGATTCTTTCAATTGAGAATTCAAAAAAAACTATGATATATACACACAAATGCCCAAAAGTTGAATTTAATTGTTGAAAGAAAGAGATCTATTTATTTTTTGAAAATATTATTTTGCATTACGCATATATAAATGTTTATTTAAAAAATATATGTATATTACAATTATGATGGTGTATAAGTGAGTTAAGAATATATACGATACTAATTTTATATACTTAATGACTTAATATTTTTTTAAATTCACATGTATATATTACTTATTAACAAATACTATACACACTAAATTTTTAAACATGTTATTGCTTCTACATATATATGTATATGTTCAATATTCATTGTTCAAACAATATTTCATATTTTTTCATGAATTTCGTTAATTGCATAAGTTTTTTTTGTTATTATCATACAAAGACGATAAAAATGCATAATACAAACACATTTTTTATACAGTTCTTCATTTCTGAATTTATAGACGTAAATGTATCTACACGCACACATACACACACACACACACACACACACACACAAAATTTAAATGACGTATATTTTTTTACTGTTAGTGATTAATATAATTTGGACATAATTCAATAAATTTGTATTTCTTTGTTGTTTAAAATTACGTCCTGTTATCGAGGGCTCAGAGCGTACTACTTGGTAAGTTCATTTCATACATTTTGATAGTCATTGAATGTGTTTTAATATATGAATGATCTGATTATATCTTTACTAGCATTAATAAATTACATGACATATTTCTTTTATATTTTTACGAGACTAATTTTGGAGCAATATATTAATTACAAGGTTTATGGCTTGTGACTAATTGATTTATATAATATAATTTGGTTTATATATATATATATATATATATATATATATATATAGAGAGAGAGAGAGAGAGAGAGAGAGAGAAGATAAAATCTTATATAATCTCTCTGTAAATTAGTAGTATACACTTAAATGCATCGAATTTTTTGTTTTTATTAAAAAAAGTTTTGATTCAATATAATAACATTTAATTTTTTAATGTGCTCTCTTTACAAATTTACAAAATTCGGTAAGATATTTTGTAATACCAAAGAATGTGACGAATGTGGTTTGATCTTTTTTTTTGTCTTCACGCATAAATGAAAGCAGTGTACAAAAAACGAATTTTGCAAAAACATTTTTGCAGTGCTATGTTTAATATAAGATGTTTAACTTTACGGAATGTAGGAATGTATAATGAAGATTAGTGCATTATTAAGTGGGTAATTGATTATAATAAAGCTTGCATCCCTGATACATTGTGTGTAAGAGAACACAAGGCCAACGCTGCACCTTTCTGATAAATAATTGTACGATATAATTTTTTTCTTTGCTATCGATATTCAGGAGGTTTTATAACAGCTTGTTTCCCTTCACGGTTTAATAGCAATTATTTATATTTTAATGCTGTATGTGCACTTATTTTCTTTGTGTATAAATTGTCTTTGTCAACACCGTCAAAATGAGACGACTTATCTCTCCGCATTACAAATTTTTGTTTTTAGGTAGTACTACAAACAGTATAAGTCAACTTGTTACCAACGAAATACCACTAGCGTCTCTCAATATAGCACCAATTGATATCGATGAAATCGCTCCGTTGCCTTCTCGTCAGAGTATTGTGGTCTCTTCCGCTCTGGATACATCTTCCATACCAACAGTAACTGTAACAACTCCTTTATCTGCATCTAGACTTAGACTATTGCAGGATACGACTATGATAGAGTCTGCCTTAGACTTAGATTCGTTGGAAGATGCGAGCATCGGTAGGGGAAGCCAATCAGGGCTTATAAAAATGGGTGTAATATAATAGTTACAAGTCGTAGAGATTATTATCTAATTGATTTTTGTCTGATGGATAGTGCAATTTTAATATCGTGTTTTGAAATAAGAAATGCAATTTATTTGCATCCTCATCAAAAAGCGTTCATACACGATATGGTAATTAAATACAAATATAATCGTTAATTATCATTAATGATAAGGAATAGGATACTTTTACGCTGTTATGCTTTCTTTTTTTGCAGAAAAAATGATTTCGTGAAATTTTAAAAATTAGAAAATAAGTCACAAACAAAATATAGGCCGGATTTCACATGCTATGATTAAAGTACAAATATGATTACTTTGATAATTAAATTTGTATAATTAATTGCATAATTAAGTTGCAATATAATGTATTTAAATCATAATTTCGTATGACTACTATTTATTATATCATATTCATGTTGAACTATAATAATTATATGCTAGAAAGAGTGTCGATGATATATCCGACTTTTACAAATACATATTTCTGCGTTAAATGTGGAATTGTCATTAAATGTAGAAGCTGTCTATATAGAAATTTTTAGAAAAAATCTTTGGAGAGTATTATTAATATATTAATTAACTTATTATTTACATTAAATTATTCACAATTCCATAAAGTATTCACGATTCTATACAAAATATTAAAAAAAAGTTGCTTGAAAGAAGAAATTATTGTGATGTAAAGAAAGTCACATAAGCTACTTAATTTCGTTTATGTAAATTTATATGTATAAGTTGTGTCACATTAAGAAAATTTATTTTTTCAATGTTTGGCATTTTTAATTATTAGAAATATATACATTTTGCATTATTTCATATGTATATATATAATATTATAAAAATTAATGATTTTACTACAAATAGATGTAAAAAAGTTGATACAATTAGGTGTGCATAAATCATATTTCTGGCACCTATTGGTGCTTTTGTTCAATAAAGAAAAAGAATCAAAGTTATATAGACATAGAATGAAGTAAAAATGTCTGAACATTATAAAGGTAAAAAAAGGGAAACATTACTTTCAGTATGGATAAGGAGCATTTATTGTAGGAAAAATATAAAAACTATATTTTTTTTGTTAAGTTTCCCCAGCGTTCTTAGAGATATTGTCTTTTTGAAAGAATTTGTCATGTACAGTGTAAAAAGTTGTAAATAAAATTTTCATACACGTTAGTATAGAGAATTTTACAAAATCTACAAACGAGATTTATTAAAGCAATGCAGTTGATAGCAGTTAATAGCAAGCATTTAAATATTAGAATTATCACTGCCTAATTTATTAACAAATTTTGTAACAAAATATTGCATGTTATTATCTATAATTTGGCATTATCATGCAAAATGAGAAGTTGTCATACTAAAGATATACAAGGATTGCCATTACGAAGACTAAAAATTCTAAGACTACTATTATTCTTTTGTATATAAAAATATGATAAATATGTCAAATAAGGGAAACAGCCACGATAACCATATATTATCAAGGTCGCGACCCTGAGTAAAGAATTCAAAATTTGTAAATCTATTTTTGTCATGAATATTTGCGTGGAAAGTCCTTGGTAAGAGAGGAGATGATGTGAGAGTCGCTTCGCGTAGAAACTCGTGCGCCCCCTTGGGGCGAAGAAAGGTGGGGTAAGAGTTGCATTGCGTGGAAAATAAATGCAATACTCCTTAACAGAAAAGATGTGAAGCAGTTTACTATTTAATATTTTTTTTTACTGTTGTAGCAGAAATGAACTTATTTTTTTAAACGTTTTTTGTTAATAACTTTTTAACAAATAATGAGCGACAGCTAAAACCTGTTGGAGGTTACTCAGGATCATGACCTTGACAACATTTGTCAAGCTCGAGGTCATCGGAGCTGTCTCCCCTATTCGGCATATTTACCAAAAATATATGTGTATGATATGATATGTACATATTATGTAGATGTATAATAAAATGCATATATAATGTAAAGCAAGTTAAAAACGTATTGTAATATTTTATTTTCCTATAAACATATTTTAAAAAATAAACAATACATATGAAAGATTATTGAGCCATACGTTTTTATTTCATATTTAAAACTTTGTCATATTTTTATAAATTTATGTAAAACTATTTAAGTAATTAGAAGAATCTTATAAGAAAAATATATATTAGGTTAACAAAATTTTAACGTTTAATTTATAACGTCTCTGGATATTGACTAGTCAAGATATACTTTTAATATTATCATACTTTACCTATTTCCATTGAACATAAATTATAATACGCCCCTCATCATTTTAAAATTTGATTCATATTTAATTGCATTTTAAAGTATTTGCACAAATATATATATTTTAACAATGATTAATTTATAGTTCAATATAATATATTGTATTTTGATAGATATTGCATTGTATAATTTAACAACTATTAATTTTATATTCTCGAACCAATATCCAACATTGATAGTGATCCAATCGGTGTCGAAATGTTTACATTGTTTTACAATTTTTGTATTTAATACACTTGGAATTAAACGATATTGTTTTGGATCGTAGCCCTTTTAAATTTATTTTGATATTTATATAATTTTAAAATACATGTACTTCAAAATGGACCCTGTATACAGTGTATATAACACACACATATAACATATAAATAAACCACTATATTTCATATATACTAGAAATAAAAATTTATTTTATATTATTAAATCATGAGCTGGTAAACGAAGACAGCTACCAACAATATAAAAAATGCAGCACCTAAGCCAGTAAGGTACGTGGCCATTTGATAATTTCCAATTGTATCAACATCATTGTCCAACGGATTAGTATTGACATTGCTGTAGATTTCTATAGGGTCTGTTTTAACATATTCGGTTGCAATTGAATAATATATATGACTTTGAGTTGTTACAATATTTTACATTTTTCTACTCACCAGCTTGTAATTCGACATCTTTTTCAACCTGACTTTCTTGTATTTCGAAATCTAAAAGTTCCTGCACTGACAATAATGCTTCTTGCGGCCCTTCGCCAGGAAACAGATAATCCGATAACGTAACTTTATTTTCTGGTAATGCTATAAACACTCGTCTCGGTGGTTCATGCACCATGATTTTTTCTGGTGAACAAGTGACTTTTTCTAAAAAAACAAGTTACAGAGTTACAAAATATAAGTATTAAATTCTACTATTTATATCGAATATTTCATTCATGATTTACCTTCGCTGAGAAAATCATTTTCTTCTACTATTAAACTATCCCAATGCATTTCCAATCTACTGGCCAGTGATCTCACTATATCTTCTTTCACGGCAGTATTAACCTCTGCAATACTGGCTTTCTGATGTATAAATGTTCTACTGACTAATTTTCCAATTAATCGTATCGATCCGCTGCATGCCATTCTTGTTATTACTTTCGTATCTTCTGACTATATTTAAATTTATTTTATTTAAATATTAATTTCTTAAAATTGCTTTTTATAAATATACACACACTAATAAAATTGTATTAATACTAACGCAGGGAATATATAGGCTAACTTGAAATGAATTATTACTATCATTTGTCTTATTTTTACATTCATTGTTGCTACTCTTCTTTTTTTTGCTAAACACTTCCAATGTGTCATCCGGAGATCTGACTTCTCCCTCGATAACAATAAGTGAAGAATCGATTAAATCTGCTATGTTTGTCAAAATATTCTGTAACATTTAATTCTTTTAATGTGGTATTGTAAAATTGATTATGTATTTGTTCATTAATACCTGTAATTGCTTCTTGAGAGGTTTAGGAATTGGCTCTCTAAAAATAAGATACAATTTGTCAAAGTCTACTAGAGTTTCAAGTTGATGCCACTTAGTTGCTTTTTCTTGGAATTTCCAATCGGCTGGTTTTAACATACTGTCTTTAATAATATCTATAGATTTGCAAATATATCTAAAGGTAAGATTAAAACAGGCAGAATTAATACAATTTTTCATATATAGTTAATATAAAATATCTGAATATCCTAGAAGGAATCGACATACTTTTCTGTAATACTGTTAAAACTTAATATCAGCTTCTCATCTTGATTATTTCTACAGAGATACTTATTATTCCATGATAAAGTTTTGTGAATTGCACCAAGAATTGATTTAAGATTTTCTACGTTACTAGTATCGTCGAAAATATCCTCAGGTCCAACAATAAATATACCAAGAACCCACATTCCACCAGGTAACATTCTTGTAACCTGTAAATAAAATAAAATTTAACGTCTAATCACTTTTATATAATGCAAGTTGATTAAAAAAAATATACAAATACATTAATCCTTATTCTTCAAATACTTGTTTATAGATTTGTTTTTTATTTCTGAACTTTTAGAGCTAGTATAAGAAGTGTACACTGAAGTGTTCTTTATTGAGTAGGGCAAAACTCAGTGCAAAGGTTCGCTGAACTGGTTGCACTAGGTCTAGAGTCAATATAAGTAGTGCAGAGAAAACAGAAATGTGAAATAGTTGATAAAATAAAAAAAAATGAGCATTTCTAAGACATTAAATAGTAAATATAAGAGTAGCTCTCTTAAACGAAAAAGAGACTTTTTGGTATATTAATTATATTTTAATACATAACACATTTGAAATATGTAAATTAAAACCATCAATAGTTACTGTTAAAAAAAGTAGCAATCGTAATATTAAATGTTAAATTTGTAAGGTTGATGAAAATCTTGTGTTAATGTATAACCATACTATGGAATATCTTTACACAAATCTTTATCTTTGCATTATAATGTTCTTTATTGCCTATTTGCACTGTGTCCTTGCTTAGTTCTAATTCAGTTCAGTTCTAATGCAGTTTTAGTGCTGCAATAAAAAACAAACTTTATACATTTAAATATATCTGTAATTACATGAAAAAATATTTATATTGTTACATATTACTAAATACAATATTATAAATATGTTTGTGAAAAAGTATCAAAATGTTATTGAAAATAATCGAGACACTACTGTGTCTCCAGATAACATTTTTATTCAATTTAAAATATTAATTGTAAACATTTCTGCTTTTATTGGTTTACTAAGTGAATAATTTATTTGTTTCTAATTAAATAATTCCTAAAAATAAGTAAATCTTATTTTATAATTAGCATAGAGCAGAGCTATTCTATCAGTTTTAATTTTAAACAATATAAAAATTTATGATAACAAACAATATCTGTTCATAGTGACATGCTTATGATTAGATTATACAATCATGATTAGTTCTTAAGTAAACAAGTACAACTTCTAAATAATCAACATATGTTATTCAAAAACATTAAGTATAGCAAGAAATGGATAAAAAGTTCCACTCTATACCCTATGTCAAGAAGATTATACATACACATTTAGCATGATCAGCGACCCAATTCATAGGTATATCTTTAACAGATTTTATCTTTACTGAAGCTTGTTCTGTCTTTAATACATTAATTGACGTTTTGTCAATAATACTTTTCGTAAAAGGAGGTGATGTCTTCGCTAAGTGCACAACATAAGCTTTTTGCCCAGCACTCTGCAATATCAAATAAAAGACAGTGAAAAAAAGACATACAACTTATTATAAAATTTAATACATCATCTGCAGAATCAAATTTTGTCTTCAGATAATTGAAGAGAAAAGAAAATATGTACAAATCATTGCTTAAGTTTTGTTAATATAAAGTCAATTAAAATACAGTAATATCATAAAATTGTGTAATTTTCACTTAGCTTATTATATGTTAAAAATGAGAGCATAATGTGTGATCAGTACAGAGTAGAGGAAAATCAAACCTGTCCTAAAATCAATCCTATCACATATGTATCTGGTTTTGCTAATGATGTCAAATACGTGCGAAGATGTTCCTCAACATAAATTGTCCGTCCCATTTTTCCGCGTGTTATACTTCTAAATTTTTTTTACATCTGGATAAACTTCGATAATCCGTATGCAGTGAAAAATTTTTGTATGCATATGTGTGTATGTGTGAGTGATATGTGTATATATATATATATATATATATATATAAAACTTTCACTTCCACGTTCAGCTCTAATAAAGCTCTGTGTTCATGGTGCTAGCAGGTGCCAGAAGGTTCGAGTACTTGCCGTTCTTGGATCATCCAGAAATGAGTAGTCAATGAACATGTAGTTTTTATCGTAAAACGGCAAGTTGATTGGCTACACATTTCTCGGTCCGAGAAATCAGGCAGTACTACCGTGGACACAGAGTTTAAAGAGAACGTTACACGAACGTTACCTACTAGAGAAGCTATGATTTTTCTTTTACACCGTAATCGATCAGCACGCGTATTAAATTAATGCGGACTAAATATTTGATATGCCCTTATTTACACCGATCTGTTGGATTATGTTAAATGATATGATATCTTCACTACTTTTCAAGATTTAAAACTCTTTTATTTTTTAACTTTAATCTAAATGTAAGTCTGGGTTTATGCTTCGGGTCTTAACCCTAAAATCCTAAAATTCAGCGAATAAGGCTGCCAGTCCTAACCGAAATCTACATTTCATTGGCTGAATTTTATGATTTTAGGGTTAAGACCGAAGCATAAACGGGGCAGATTTAAACTGACATTTTACGTCACGAGCCGCTTCAACCGGTCGTTTTAGAAAGAGATAAAGAATACATTTTTTTTGCTTACCTAATAGAAGTATTATTCCTTTGTCTCAATTAAATATGTAACACATTATCACATTTATTATCATCAAATGAAAAGACAAGAATTTTTTAAGCAAGAGAATTCTAAGGTCTGTATTATACTTAGACTTGTAATTGGCTTATGATATTTTAAAATTGTACTTAAGACGGTTTTATACATTATCTTATATATAAAATATTAAATATAAGAATTTAACTACCGACACAAGAATTCTTTAAAACATCTCTTTTTGATATTTTTATTAAGCTAAAAAAAAACGACACCTTATCAATATAATTCATTAATCTTTAATGTGAAAATATCCGACAGAAATATTAATCACACAACATATACCAAAAATTTATGTATACATATATTTATATATGTACCTTTTTTCTTATAAATATGAAGTATATATATATATGTACAGTTTAATCGATATAAAAATATGTAAAGATGTCTTGCAATCTTTATACACATACAATAGGTTTCAAAACGGCAAAAATGGCACGTAGTTGGTAAAATAATTAATTAGTAGTTTTGACATAGGTTACGAGTATCAGCCTTTGAATCGGGGCTCAAAGAGCTCCAAGGGGTGTCGAGACACTTTTGTAGCTTCGATTCGGACCGAATCTCATGATTAGCATCGCACATCTCATCGATCTCATAGTGCTCGTATACTAATCTGTCCAGCCAATCGTCGAGGTCCTCGCCGATCCTGTTTTGACTGTGTGTAATCTGCTCATTCGCTATTGCGGATTTCACTAACTTCGACCAACTTTTATTCATTTCCTCTGTAATATGGTAGACGGTGCTCGGACCATCTATTATCTCTTTCGCCTTATCCAAGTCTATCTTCTTGGTCTTCCAGTAGGACAGTGGAATTACCAAAAATTTTAATTTTGCTATCAGTTGAGTGTCGGCAACTAATAATAGTCGCCAAGTACCAACTGCTAATTGTTCGTTTAGCTGCGGTTTAACATGTCCCACCTGAAAAAAAAGAAAACAAAAGACTTGGTCTCTAACTGAACTTCTTACACTATTCATCTTTTTCCTTTTTTCTTCAATGTGAAAAAAGAATGAATCATGCAAGAAGTTTAGCTAAAAAGAACAACCCTGTTCATGAAGTTACACAAGACTTAATTGTGAAATAAGAGAAAAAAATTAAAAAAACTCCTACTGCAAGAAAACGTTTGGTATTGCAATGGTAATTACCAAGGTCATCTCTTCAAGCAGCATGTGATTCACGTCGGCAAGGCGGCCGTGCGGATCAATCCATAAGATTGATACATTCTGCGGTATTGTAACACCCGTGTCAAACTCATAGGCCAATACCGGAGTCGAGTACGGCCCTATACTACCCATCAAGTTTCTAAATGTCTGTTCCTTTTGATCGTAGTCCGTGCTAACGGAGAGACTTCGTATCTTTCCCAACCATAATTTACTAGCGGAAAAATTATGTCGCATAGAGATCAAAACCTCCATACGTCTAACACGACTGTCAGGCAGTGCGGATACATCGGAGAGTTCCTTTTTATTCTCCGTGAGAATTAGTATACCAGCGAAACGATTCTCGCGAAAGTATGCAGTATTTTCCAGCAAACGGACATTTTTGTGATCCATATTCAGTTTACGGCAAACCAGTCTCGCCAAAGAGTACGAGAGCGTTAACAATGCATCATTCGGTAGTGGACTCAGATCCGCATGATGATATAGACTTTGCCAATACATATCGTAGCCCTTCAATCTAGTCGTTTTGTTCACTCGATCGGGATATAGCCATTCTTCTACACGGTCTATAATTCTGTAATCAATAACAGGTTCGAATTTACGGGCAAAGAATATATTGCGATCCGCTGTGTTTCGTAGCCGATTAAAATCCTCGAGCTTAAAATCGTTCGGACTGCATCCACACCAATCCACCACGGCCTTGTACTGGCACTTACAACCCAACTTCCTCTTCCAATTAGTCATATGCAAATTATTGTCTATATAAGTATTACAAAATCGTGAGTTCCTTATGACCGTGTGAAAGAATGATTCAGCTGGCAGCAAGGTATATTTGAATAGTTTTAAGAGATTGGACACCAACTGATCAGGATTTGGATTGGCGACATATTCGACAAAGTCTCGACTCAGAGCAAACCAGTCGCTACCACCATCGATTTGAATACCTGCAAAATTAATAAAACATTGTATAATAATTATATACGCGTGCACACATATGTAGACAGGTTTATATGCAGTTTATCTTAAAAAAAATCTTTCAATATATTATGAATTGAATCATAGGTGCACTTAACATTATAGTTGATCAATTAAATGCTTCAAAGTATTCAATTGACTAATTAGAAGAATTAAGTTTACTAATAAGCCAATCAAAGAATACTTCAAAAAGCATTTGTAACATTTAAATGAAACTTTTATTAACACTAGAATGCTCTTTGATGCTTAAAAAATTCAAAACAGATAACACTATAAACAATTCTAAGGATAATACTTATAGTTTACTTATCTTTAAAATATTTCTTTTTAAACATAAATAAATATTTAGTAATGCACATACTAATATAAAACAAAGGAATACTGTTTTAAAGACTAGATAATAAACAGAAAAAAACATAAGCCGTAAGTAATAAATGAATTTGCCAATGCTTAAAAAATATTTTAGTAATCAAATATGTATAAGCTATCGATGAAAATCGTATACGAAATAAAATATATATGATTTTAACATACCATCTGGTAATTTTCGATCACCGATTCGCCACATGCGTGCTTCACATTCAACAAAAGTCTTGTCTAGACCTTGTTTAGCTATAAAACGCTGAACTTCCCTTCCGTGTGACTTCGCAAAGTTCATACCCTTGTTCCAACTAAGAAATTCGATCAACTGATTATTGCTTTTCAAAGGGAAGTCAGATTCTGATAGATTTACGAGAAAATCCCAGTGTTGATGATAGCCGAGCATCTGTTGCGCGGACTTCAAGAATGTTGTCAAAAGACTCGCGCCACCCCAAATACTTGCGTGTCGTAGACCTTCTCCTCTTGCTACTTTGATATTGTTTAATTTACACGATTTTTCCAATTCCAACATTTCACGATATAAATAATCCTGCCTCTGAGAAAATACAATTTGATTGATATAATATTCATCTATTTTATCAATCTGTTATTATTAAATTCGTATAATATAAGTTTATAATATAAATAATATATATATATATATATATATTTAGAAAACATTGTAGATTTAAAGAAAAAAATTTTAACAGATATGTAATGAATTGTGATAATTGTAATTAAGAAATTTATGTTTTATAATGATGCAATCATCTAAATTGTTCTTATTTTTCTCATCCAAATTAGAATTAAAATAATTCTTCTTCTTATTAAACTTACCGCGTCAACATGAATATAAAATAAATGTGAAGGTTGATATAAAATACTGATAAGTCGTTTCACTTGCCGACTTGCCCTGCCATTCACTGTCAGCAGATAAGCTATTCGCACAGGTTGTTCGATTTCATTTTTTAAACTCGAGTTTCTTGCTTCTTGAGGCTTAAATTCTGTCGAAACAAACAATCTCTTTAATAATACTATAGATACCTACATGTATGTACTTGCTCACTCACGTACTTTGAATTCCAGTCCAATATATATTAATAGTTAAATAACCACCACATGTCTGTTTTGGATTGCCAGAACACTTCATATTACAGCTGGAATCTGGTAATCGTTTCGTCTGTAATGGTTCTTCCATTCCACAAAAACATTCTACCCTAAAATCAGACGGTGTTTCAAAAGGGTTGCATAGCATTTATATATACAGAATGACAAAAAAGTTTGTCACAGTTTTTTATTTATCAGCTCATTAGTAACATATATCAAAAAACAAACTTTAGAGTGTTACTTATACTTCACATTATCACAAATACCCAAATTATTAACATTAACCCTCAAACGGTACTCTAGTGCGAATTTGCACCAGCGAATTTTCCACCAAACGATCATTTTTTAAAAAGTCCTTTTTTTAATAACAATTTTTTTGTAATTTATAAACCTGTAATCTTAATTTCAATAATTCCAATCGATTTGTCAGGAAATTTTACCCCTAACATGTACATACACAAAAATTTTTTAATGCATTTTTTATGATGCGATTAGAGAATGAAATCATAAAATCCCAATTCGCACTAGTGTACCGTTTGTGTATACCAAAACGAAGTGTACCGTTTGAGGGTTAAAATTGGATACTTTTTAACAAACATTAAAATGATGTCTTTAATGTCATCAATAATATCAGCTTGGTACATGAATAATTATTTGATAAACACACAATATATGATAGAATGCTTTGTAGTCAAACTTTTTTGTCACTCTGTATCAATCGTAGATTGATTGAGATACTAACGAGTACTCTGTACCAGCGTATGGAAATCCGGATTGAAGACACATATAAGCGCAACGCTCAGGCGTATTGTTCCCTTTGAAGACGTGATAATAACCGGAGAGTGCTCTCAACGTTTTATCGTCTTTGAAGCAGCCTAAGTTGATCGGCATGCCTGTAAAACCTGGAGAATGAGGACACAAAGATTGCACTCTTTCTGGGTACAACAAACCCTGCTGGCTAAGGCACGTCACATTGACAATGCGTTGCTTGCATGCTTGACTCTGAGCACGCGTTACGGCGCTCACAGCCTCCCGGACCGTAACCTCGCACACAGGTGTGAAGTTCAACGACTTGCGATCTAATTTTATTTTGGCGGTGCGATTTCTTAGCTGGGATTGTAGCTGAGTTTGCTTGTTTGCGTTTGCCTGCTTGTCGGGTGGAAGTTTCAGTTGACGTAAGCCCTTCGGCAGGCCCTCATCCTCCTCGGGTTGAGAAGAACCACCCTGTAATTTGCCAGAGAGTATCAAGTAATAAATTTATAAATATTTTCTACGTATTCTGTGTACTGTAATATTCAGTGTTATAAAAAAAAGAGAGGTTTTCTAAATAAAGGTATCGTACAGTATTCTATCATTATTTAATCTGTTTTATGGCTAAACCAATATATAATTTCTGTATTTACAATGAAATAGATATATGTGCTTGACACTTGGCCAAAGTGAAAAAAAAGTTCGTTCTAGAGCTGCAATAAGAAACAAAACTTATTGTCTTTCAAAAGATGAGGTTAGGCGGCTTACCTCTCCTGATGACAGCCGGCTAGACTTGCCTTTGTCATTGTCCAAACCGAAGAACGTATGTAGATAGACCTGGACACATAGCACAGTTATGCCAAAGGCGAAGATCAACCGGTATTTACGTAGGCAGCTCGACGATCGGCTGCCCGGGTGGCTCCTGATGATCGCCATTATTCTTCGAGGCCCGCTCGCGTTTACCGTCGATTACGGCGCGCGACCGAGGAAGCTGGATCCATCGGGGACTGAATGACTGTCTCGTCAAGACAATGACCTCATCGATGAAAATTATCCATTTCCGCAGTCTCCCTCAGCGGAGAATTAAACGCGCATCTCCACTCACACACTCCGCTTCGCACTCCATCGTACGTAACTACACGTAACTCGTACGAATGCACCGAACGCGACCACTACGTTAGACAGTGTCAGACAGCATTCTTGAATGATTAAGCGCAGTGGCAGAGGTTAGGTCGAGATTAGGTTAGGGTTAGATTCGTGCGTCACAGCGCGCGTGCCCTGGAGCTTTGATGGCGGCCTCGCATAGGTTATGGTCTGCGTCTTAAATAATGCAGTAAACAACTTTAGTCACGCTTTTTATCGGTCTATGCGGTCATCTACGAGGAACGCCCATGGCAGGAGAAATGCGACGCCAGAAAATGGCAAATGCAATGTTCACGCACAAGATCAAGGCGGAGGATACCATTGAGTGTTTCCTCTATCCCAAGTTCTGCTACGCGTCCGACCCGGACGCGGTGACGGAGGCGAGGCTGAGCGAGGAGATCGCCAAGTATAACGAGGAAATGGGCTTGTTCATCGGCGATCACATTTGGCATAGTGACAGCTTAAATTTCCGTCCTAGAACCAAGCAGGCGATGCTACTGAATCGAACTCTCGAGGGATCAGCGGTGGAGGAAGGTGAATATCTTCATTTCCAAATGTTGCAGTTGTATTCCCTAAGATAAATTAGTCAATAAGAATAATCATAATTATTTTTTTACCAGATTACCATACCTTGCCTCACATTTATGCCAATCAACGTTTTGACGAGGATATAGGAGACGAATGGCTAACAGTGTTCCTAATATTTAGGCTCACCAAAGTCTTCGACGGATTGATCGCCAGAGTGGTGGATTCGGACGGAGAGTTTCTTCTGATAGAAGGCGCCCATGTCCTGCCACTCTGGGCCAGCCCTGAAACGTGCCAGGATCGTGTGTTCATTCATAACGGTGATATTCATGTTATTAGAGAAAGGGGAACATCATTTCCTAATTTATTAAATAATATAAATGGCAAGCCACATATCTCTAAGATGTCCGAGAAGGTGCAGCTTGTATTACAAAAGCGAATTGGCATTTATCCTGATGAGATTCAGAAGAGGAAGCACAAGGCCCGAGCGTTCCTTCCAGAGAAGGCGGCTTCTATACTTCGTCTAGAACCAAGACTCATAGCTCCAGCGATTAGAACTATCTGCCATTCAGATCCACTCGAACGCAAAGTATAATAGAATTAATTTGACTTTTTGCATATGCAAGTCGATCCTTGAGTATTCTAAAAAATTTTTGTATTTTTTTTTCTAAAAAATTCCTCATATTTAATTCAGGTTAAAAACTTTATGATTGACAGTGTTCAAAACATTATCCGGATGTCCTCGTATCACCTTATACTTGTTTAATATTAGATAATTAGTTTAATAAGGATAAAACTACGGGGCATTTGGATAATGTTTTCGAACACAGCTTGTATATGGCTGAGTTAAAGGAAAAAATTTCGTTTTTTTTCCAAAAATTTCAAACACTATTCGGGTTATTATAATGAAACTTTATGTATGTTAATACACGATTCGGTCATTTGTATCTTGCACATTTCTTTTTAATATCAGGAATACTTGGCTAAATAATAGTTTCTATCTTTTCTCTTCTTTAATACACAACCTTAAACGCTTTCTAAATATATTAAAATATATGTGTATGGATATGAACGATCATATGTAGTAAAAAACTGGAAAATCACCGTGTAATAATTGTAAAAGTCCCATGGAAGTAATTCGAGGTTTTCAAAATTGTTAGAAATAACAAAATTTTTCCTTTAACATATTATAGCTTTAAAACTAAACTGTTTGGGACATTGTTTGAAATTGTCATCTAAAATTAATGGGAGGATTCACCTCCTAACGTCTTTTAAAATATGCGAGGATCTTCTGCATAATCGAGATTTTATATATATATATATATCATATTTGTTACTATATTGTATTATAGGTTTGTCGTGCCATGAGATATTTCCCTCCCGAACAACGAACCATGGTCAATGTTAAAATGACCAAGTGTTTGTACGCGATGGCGACGCACTGTCGTTATACTGGTGATCCAAGAACAGGTTGGAACATACCACCTGCGACTTGCTCAAAATACAATGCTCATGTTCTCGGAGTTAAAATAGCATGCGGTTTAGAGATGCTAGTAGCTCGGGCCAATGAAGAACGTAGAAAACGTACTAAAGAACAGTCGGACGTTCCCGACGATGCTGAAAAATTAAAGCTGAACGAATCAGCTTTCAACGCTTACCTAGCTCGTTTAGAGGCGAACGGTTACTTTAGAGATCTGTTGGAAGGTAGTCAAGAACGTGATAAGCTACTATCTACGGCGAAGGAGTATTTCTTGAAGCATGCGACTTTATTTGATAATCTAACAAATTTGTACGAAAGCGATGCTCAAAAAATCTTAGAAGCATGGGAGAACATACAGACGAATGACATTGAAATGCATGGTAATTTGCTATTTACATAATTAAATGACTTCTAAAAAGTAGTATACAAATAAATTAGTAGTATATAAATAATTATGCTATTTTAAAAAGTAGTATGCAAATGGTTTCGATTATTAAATATTACACATTTAATTATAATTAAGTATATTTTCTGCATATAGCTCAAGATGAGAGTACGCTGAGTCCCGCAGATACCGATAGTTGGCTAAATGTGGATCCAGCGCAATTAGAAACGTATTTAAATCAACACTGGGGCAATGTTAAAGATAAAAAATTAGATAAACAGGAATCTTTGAGTCTCCGAGAAAAAGTACAATCATTTCTCAACCAAACCAGTGATATTGATGGCGTGCATTTCTTAGGGTATCTATCTATCCATAGCATAATTACATAAATAATTTATTCGCAAAACATGAAAAAGTAGATAATTGCTGATTTTATTTATAGAGAACAATCAATGGAGAATGATATGCAAGACGCGGAGGATGGCGCGCGAATAGATTTCGACGCAGACGTATTCGATAGTACATTAAGAGGCATTCTTGATTTAGTTGTTCCTGGAGGAGAGGATGAATTCGAAGGTAGTTCAGAAGGATCGCTGGGTGGTGATGACGAGGATAAAGGTGGCGATATGGACAAGTACATGCGTCTGTTAGATTCGCAATTACAATCGCAGATGGTAAAAGACGAAAGCTTGGTAGCGGATGATGATAATAGCACAGATCTCGTAGAGGCAAGTTTGCGAGAAAGTATCGAAGCCGAGGCCGGTGGCTCCGGCCCGGCCGGGAACATAATCGGAGGTCCTGTTCGAAGGCTCATGCACTTGCAATTGCAATCGCCTACGACGGTACCGCCCGACTTACAAAGTTAATGGCACTACATAGTAGACGATTAGCATAGTCGATTCACGTTAACATTCGTAAACATTATTACAACTTTCGCTTCATTCTGCAAGATACATTAAGCATTTGCCATTTCAAACAAGGAGAAAAGACAATGGACTAAAATCTCTCGTTACTGTCTAAATTATTACACTTTATTACTTAAAATATATACTTAATGTTATCGATCAAAGCACCTTTATCACGCAATTAGAACCATTGATACATATTTCACAATTGTACTTTTCATCACTCGTATATAACTGTTTTTCATACAAATTATATAATTTATATATACAGATATAAGATGTTATTATCGCGGCCATAGAGTTAGATATTAAGAATCCTACTATTTGTATATGTAGCATTTTGTTTCCACTTTTGTAACTAATTTTACTAAGCATCATCTTACGTGTAAAGAGCTTTGTACATTTCAATTAGAATAATGAGAGACACGGACGTTTGTTGTATACAGATTTATATATTTCATTAAGACTGGTTAAAAGGATCGTTACGTTATGATGATATGTATACGCGTTTGTGCTCGTGTATACATTGATCTTCATAGTCTCGTGTAGCTTATTATTTATATTAAAATTTAAGGAACACCTTTCGGTGCTGTTAGGTAATCGATTATTTAAATTCCTATTTGAACCATTTTGGTGTCTTGTTTTGATCCTGAGTTGATGGTGATGATGATTTACCGCTACCGCTCGGTCCTGGAGTGACATGATTGCTCTCGACAACTGTGCCTCTATCACTTTCAGTCGTTGGATCTTGTTCTTTCCGCATCGTGATAATTCTATAAATAAGTATAATATGTAAAATTTAATGACAATCTGTATTAAATGATATAATCAATATACCTTACCTAGATTTTACAGCTTCAATACCAGCGGCTCTAGGATCTGTCAGTTGTGCTTTTACATTCGAATTTAGCGATGATGGACCGGAATAATAAACGATAGCAGAGGGAACAAGATTTTCGTCTATTAGTCGTGCGTCGGGATTTAAAATATGCCTTGGTGGGCTAGTATCTGCAAAGAAAAGAATATATAATAAAATTTTATCCATAATAAAATCCATACTACATGTTTGTCTTTTGCATAAAATGAATGTGATATAATTGCATGTCATTATACTCACAGATAATGAATTCACAATCTGGATTCTCCAAATAACTTTTAATGAAATCCTTGATTGCTTGGATAGTTTCTAGCGGTCCAAACAAACCCTGAAGAACGAATTGGTCGGGAAATTGTATGCGAATTACGGCGCGACGATATTTGGTCAATCGATCTAGAATGTGTTTGCTTCGATCCAACTGACGTTGCATCTCCGTCTGAAGCGGAGCTTCCTCGAGTTGCTCTCTGCGACGCTTAGAATCTCGTAAAAGTGTCTTTGCGTCGTGTAGATCTAGATCGAAGAAGCTATCCGGCAATTCGTCCCTCGGTAATGCCTGAGTTCCAGCTTGATTGAACACTAGAGCATTTCTCTTCCCTAACTGTAACATGAAAATCCTAGATAAGTAAATCCATCACTTGAACGCAATTGCACGTATGCACAATTACACCTTACAAACTTAATTTCATACGCGTTTTCTTGAACTTCTATGCATGTTTCTGCAATATCCTGATTTTTCTCAATGTTGTGATCTTCATGGCTGGACGCAGTGAATTGACTTTCTCCTATCTTAAATGTATCTTCCTCTTGTTTTTTATTACTAAGCTCATCTACTGTCTCATCTTTTGTGACTATTTTCACTTCATCTCTTGACTTTTCCTGAGTTTCTATTTTTGATGTGCTTTCCATTGGTAAATTAATTGTTTCATTAATTGTCTTCCTATAGTGTAATTGGGATGATGGCACTCTTTGGTAATCTTCAACATTCGATGAATCATTCGCGACTGACTTTGGAAGCAAAGGCGTAGATACGTGTGCCTGAGTTTTTAATTGTTCATGATCACGATATATCAATCTCAATATTGCTTTTCCAGTATTGAGTCCCAGCGATTTTAATGTTGCTTTCTCTAATGCTTCTTTGCTATACACCTGGAAAGGTTTGAATCATTTACTTTCGATTTCTCATTCGTTTGTTTGCATTAAACATGTAATTACACAATATTAGTATATATTCTATATTATTGCTTCCTTACTTCAAAAGTGACACAATTAAAACAATGTGACTTTGAGTTACTAACTATAAATGGATTAAGAGTAAAAACATTATCCTATCAATTGTTAAAAGTGTACTAACCTTATAAAAAAAATCGTTAAAATTATCACAATTAAAAGAAGTAATTCTTTAAAAGTAATAAAACAAAAATATTTTGTCATGTTAAAAATACATTCTTTTATCAACGTTCTTTGATTGTTACAATATTAATAATTTTATATCAAGTTAGAAAGATATAAGAGTACTTATATGTTTATGTAAAAAAATCTCTTGATCTTTGACAAACAATCATCTAAACTTTTTTGCACTTATTTAGAAATAAATCTGTTTACATACTTCACGATGCATGTAGATCAACACAGCTCTCTCAAGGTCAGAATCAGGATAGATATCCATCAATACCTGAGCCAGCGTTGTATCAGGTGAAAATTCGCGCAATATTCTCTGTCCATCCTCTGGCTGAATGCCAATTGTGACATTTGACGTGGTACGAGTTTTTGTACAGGCTACCATCTCCAACTGAGCGTTATTTGGCAAACCAGTGAAGCGGAATATCATATTAGGATCTAGTATCTGACGATTGTGTCTGTAACAACAACGAGAGATGTAATGTATGATTTACAGAAATTATATCATTGTGGAAAACAAAGTCTCAAGTGTCACGCTTACTTAATGTCATAATCATCGACGTTGTAGCCTTGCTTCTGACATACCTCCTCCAGAACCTGCAAATCAAACCTTTATATGAAAATCATATCGAGAATGTTCCTTTTGTTTTGATGAAACCTATTCGAACGTAAGTATCACATTAAATCCTTGTCGGATTTGATGACTCACCTGCAAGATCGTCGTATTAATCGTAACTCTTACATTTTGCCGGTGACCGTTTGGCGCGAGAACGATAACTGTCTTGTTTGCCGCCATGGTGACCAGTGAAACTTCAAAGAGGTGCGCTGAACTGCCCAACCATCGCGAAGTCAACAGCTGATTCGAAGCAACTCACTCGCGCAGATATTCCACGTGTCATTCTCTCCTAAGGTCACGTAAAGTCTCGTGTTCAACTGATTCGTGATAATCAAAAGAAAACAAGAAATAAAAGGATCGATCGTATTTTCATTGAGAAGATTGTACTACAAGTTTTTTTTTTTTTTTTACCGTGAAAACAGTTGCATTTACACGCGCCGTTATTTTTCTAGATTGTTTTATAAATTTGAAACAGCTGTTAACGTTGTCACAGTTTGTGTGTACGCGCAGTTGATAGGCTATCTATTGACGCTTGCGCGCTCGATTTAGATCATAATCGCGGTGTTCGTAATTGTACGTTGGCAAGGGTTCAGGGGAGTCGTCAGGAGCCGTCAAATTGTGTGGCCGACCTGCACGTGCACCGCGGGCCGTTTACGCGGGGGCGGAGGAGAGGCGCGAGAAACAACGAACGTGTGTGTCAAGCCCGTCACGCTCGCAGCGGGAAGCGGGGATCGCGTGAATTGACAATAAAAGCGACGGAGAAGAGAGGCAAGGATACCCGCGGCGTGTTGCCGTATTTTACGGTGCGACTACCGTCGCTGTCACCGTCATCTGACGTCTTGCCGCACCGTTCGACTACACGACGACACAAATGACGACCTGCGAGGTGAGGCCTGGCAAGCCGCGACGCGATGGTCGTGTCTTTTAACCGGTACCTGCCGGTAATCCTGCCGGAGATTGACGACAGTGAGCCCGGCGGTGCCGTTGCCGCGAACGACGTCGGGTCGCTCGACGTCAAGCAACGCGCCTCGTACACCACGGATGAGCCTGTTGCGAGGAACTGTTCGATCAGTACCAGTACTATCGGTGGCGGCAGCGGTGGTCCGACGACGACGACCTCCGTGACAACGCCGGCAGTAACGGTGACGACGTCGGCGGTCACGGTGCCGTTATGCGTCCTGGGTGAGGTACAGCTTCGCTTCCTCTGCCCTGACGACCTGGAGGAAGTGCGATCGCTCTGCCAAGACTGGTTCCCCATAGGTGAGCGTCTCCGTCCTAGAGGCGAGCATAACTCTTGTTTGTCTATAAAAGGAAACTGCAAGATTAAAAGAGATATTTTTGTAATGTAATTTTAGTCTTTTTAACACTTCGTTTTTTCTCTTTCGCTTTTTTGAAATCTACTTTTAATTAATAAAAATGTACATAGGTTGGAAAAAAGAGATAATGAGAAAAAAGAAATGGATCGGCATCTTAAAAAAAATGTTTGACACACAGAAATAATGTAGTATTGTTTTCTCTCATATTTGACTTCTCGAGAGTTCTTTGTAATTTTATAAAAATTATTGCCTATACAATGTTAATCAAAGGTGAAATGATCACTGTCTCTTGCTAAAAAGCACCGAATGTTTCATAAATTGTAGAATTAATTTGTTTATCTAATTGCACAGTTTATTTGTCCATATGTCAAAATTATAATTTATATGTGTAGTTATTAAAAATATGTTTTTATTAAGTAACATGTTTTCTTTTTGTATTATATTCTAAAAACTTACTATAAATAAACAATATAATATAATAAAAAATATGTCAACTATTAGATAATAAAATAGAACGATTAATTTCTACTACTTACAGATTATCCTTATTCATGGTATGAAGACATTACAAGCTCGTCAAGATTTTATGCGCTTGCAGCAGTGTATGGTGGAGTAATAATAGGGCTGATTGTCGCAGAGATAAAGCCTTATGCTAGATTGAACAAGGAGGACCGTGGCATTTTGTGCTCCAGCCTGGGAAAAAATTGTTTAGTGGGTTATATACTTAGCTTAGGAGTACGCCGCGCGTATAGGAGAAATGGCATAGCGTCGTTGCTACTGGAACAGCTGCTCGCCCACGTCACCGCTCCAGAACGTTCCTCCGTAAAGGCAGTCTTCCTACACGTGCTCTCCAGCAACGCTCCCGCTATATTGTTTTATCAAAGATGTCACTTTCGGTTGCACAGTTTTCTTCCGTATTACTACTCGATCCGGGGAAAATGTAAGGACGGTTTTACATATGTTCTTTACGTCAACGGCGGACATGCACCTTGGGGTATCTGGGACTGGGTCCGTCACCTGGCTGGTGCGATGACCAGTCTTATACCGTGCAGAGTACCACGATGGATCTGGCAACGTCTCTTATGGGCAACCACCATTCTTTCGTACCACAGATGATACATTTTGTGATTTATTATGTTCCATTATATATTTATTTTTCTTTTTTGGATTATAGAGATGTTACATGCATGTAAAGTGCCATAAGTTGGTTGACTGGTTCAAGTAGTTAGCCATAGTGACCATATAATTTTATTATGTAGTCCTGTGCTAATGCAAAGTTAGAAATGGACATTGATCTACAATCGATTTATATAACATGAACAAAATATTCAGATTTGTCTAAAATTCGGGCAGCAAGGCTTCAGAGTATCTTAGCACGATTTTTATTACCAAAGATGTTAGTTATTAAGTACATATCATTATTACAATACTGTTGTAATAGTTCGAGATATGTAACTGCCAAAAATAATTAAGTTTAAATAATTTGCACACGTTAGGACTTAATATATCTTCCATTATTTTCTGGAAATTATAGTACTATAAATCTCATTGTTAATTTTAATGAAGGCACAAACCTTGACATAATTAAGTATATTTGTCTACCTTTTGTTTGAATTATTTACTATATCTTTTTTTTTTTTTTTTTTTACGAGGGTAGGGGGAAATCTTCAAAAGACTCCCTAAGGCCCGTACCCTAGGGAGTGCCGGATTCGATGATATTTGCATCGCAAAGATACAATGTCTCGCCTACCGACTAAAACCCCCTCCCTATTGATTATCTTAAAAGATCAAGTAAATGAGCACCCATCGAATATCACTCCCATATTACTTTCGGGGATGCTCATCTTCTATGTATAATTTTATCTATTGAAACATAATATCGCAAATTTCTACGATTTTTTATCTTCAAGTTTGTAGAAAAATTTAGAAATTGAAAATGTGTATAGCAAATTATAATCTTTTAAGCAAAAATAATTTGAAAGACTGCATAATTACGATTCATACTTTGTATACCTCTGCTGCCACATCGACTGTATAATATATGTATAAACTGTGTATATATTTTGTATATTAAATAAATACTCTTAATATATTAACATGGAACAATGAGAGTAAAATGAATTAATAATCCATCCTAATTATTAGAGTATTTTGAAGAGTTTAATGAAATTTACTTGGTCAAAGCAACTTAACTATAATATTTATACTAAAAGTACCAAACGATTATTCTCTTAAACTCTTTATATTTTTTAGAGATTCATATTTTCCTTTTTTGTGTAAAAGATAGAATTATTTTTTTTATATTTCCTTTTTTGGACTTTTTTTGCCTTTTTAATAATTATGTTTTTTATATACTGATAAAACATTCGTTTTTTAACTTAAATAACTTTTTTTTCATATTTATTTACATGGTCTTTTTTTAATAAGAAATTTGGTACTTTACACATATAGTTATATCTTTATATATATTTACATAATATATACATTTACATAATATATATATTTACATAATATATATATTTACATAATATATAAATATCTTACATACATTCCACATTTTCGTACTTAGTTTTCACACTAATCTTTAAAGATGACCCTACACGGTCAATAATAATCAGCAATATTCCAGAAAAATACCGACAGTATGTATTAATATGTTTAGATTTTTTTACAACCTCTCTCTCTCTCTCTCTCTCTCTCACATACGATCAGTATTATTGATATTTTTCGTTTCAATTTTATGTATACTATTGCGCTGTAATACAAATCCTAATAAAGCAATACTAATGCTTAAAAATCAGTATTCTACGTCCAATATCATAATCACACGATCAGTAATATTGTCATTTTTATCAATACTGACAGTATTTATTGATGTGTAGGATCACCTTAATTTTAATTATATTTCGTTTCGAAATTATTTTTTGCGACTGTCATTTGTGGATCCAATGTACTCGACAAAACTTCAAATTAATATATCTTTGCTCAATTGTTTTTTAAAATCTAAGGAAAAAAATCATGTAACTTTTTATGTAAAATTGTGAAAAATATTTGTTATAAATAACGTTTTACAACGTTCGACATGTAATTGAAAAAACTATCTGTATCCACATCAGCGAATTAGGAATAATATTTGTACTAAAAGTGATTATTCCAACACACGTGTACAAAAATAAGATTTTTATTGAAAATAGTATGCAAACATGAAAAAAAATTAAAAACATATGTATGTTTCTTTAAATACAAATACATATGTTTGCAAACATAGAATGAAACTTATCAGTTTTATACATTATATTAATTATGGTCATATTGTATTTTGCAATTTAAATCGATTAAACCTAAGCAAATTTTAAATATTATGATTAAGTTGTTCCATTTTTCGATAAATTGCAACTCATTGTCTTACTCTCTTATTGTTAGATAAATTATTAGCTTATCTAAAGATGGAACAATCGGCCCTAAGAAAAATAAAACCTTAATTTGTAATTAGAAACAGACGATTAAGAACAATAATGTCGCAGTAGTTCGTGCGTTAAAACTTTCGATTTATTTCTTATAATTTATAATGTATTCGAACGTTTTGGCTTTATTGGACATTATTACTCTCGAGAACACAGTTTCTGTATTATACATATCGATTGAAAATAAAACCTATTGATATTTTGATGGAAGACATATTTAATGCGCTATCGAACAAGACTAGAATAAGATCTTGCATGCCAAAACCGTAAAACATGAGAAGTATTAAACGATTCCATTTGTTCACCTATTTATAAATATGACAATAATGTAGAAAAAACGTATATGTAAAAAGAAAACAAATGGGTTTAAAATGCAAAGATTGAACTACTGAGGTATGTACGAATTGTATATACCAAATGAAAGATAAAATACTTTTCGATATACACACGCATTATATATTTCTTCATCTATACTATATATTATACAACAAATGTGGCAATCCAATTTTTTTTAAACCGAATTATGGAATAAGCCTCTTTTTCAGAAAAATAAAAATTAAATTCTACTTTTAAAAAAGCATTTCAGAAAAACTTATTTGTTAACTTTTAGAGGACAGAGGTTTATTTTTAAAATATTTTTAGCTTTTTCTTGAATACTTAATAACGAATTCGGTTGTTTAAGAAAATATATATTTTATATATAATTCAAAATATTTACATTTCATTAAACTGAAATTAAATCAGTGTATACTGACTTTAATATGCACACTAGTGCGCTCAATTGAATTCGCTATAAAATTTATTGTAAATTCATTATTTCAATGTATTTTAAGCCTTAAAATATAGCACTTTCAGCGTTACTATATGATGTCTTTTCCGTCCTATAAAAGTTAACAAATTAATTTACAATTTGAAAGAATTTGTTCGTTTCATTCTATGTTTATATATATATTTTTCGACGCATGTATGTCATACATAAATCTCTATAGGCATCGATAATAAACTTTTACTAATCTTTCGTTATATACTCTTAAAATCGATTTGTATATACAAACTATATACATGCAAATGTAATTTTACAATATGTACAGTAAGTACATATACGTTTTTGTATTATAAGTTAAGTACTTCTGGGATTTAACATTTGAATTAAAGTATTCATATGTAATGTATTGGTATCATTCGGCCAATTCCAGGTAACTCGTTCCTTGAATGCTTGGGCGAAACTTGCTTCAGCATCAGGTGGTCTATTGTGCAACTTGTTTCGAACTTCAAACTCCGATTGTTTGGTTATTGCATTATAAACATAAAATTCACCTGTCTTTTGGCTAAGATGACGTGCCCATGGTTTAGCAATACTTCGTATGAATATCACGCTGTTAAATAACGAATAGACAGGTTGTTCTTGCACGGGTTCCTTCAGATTCATTTCATGATATTCTGTTGTATTAACTATGCTCATGTCTCGTTCCAGTGGATTCTTTGCGAGTTCAAATCCGATGGGCAACTTTAAGCACGGGGTTGTATTGTATGTGGTTTTCAATCTTCTATGTATATCTGGTGTCAGTAGGAATCTTTCTTTGGCACGAACGCGACTGTAATCGTTCGACGGCTTCCACAACGCGTCGCAAAATTTCTTTGTGAGTTTATATCTGAAATATCAAATATAAAAATATTAGTTGTAACACAATTAGTAGTATATTAATTAAATTTGTTACTCCATTAAACTTGTACTCATGTATTTAAATTTAAATTAATAATATTTATATATTTTAAATATATATTTACATTTGCTTTAATTCAATAAATAAAGACTACACTCTTTGTAATATTATTCATTGATTCATATATTGCACAAAAGCTAAAATATTAACTTTAATTTGATCTATATATGTTCAATTAATTTGTATAGTTTTAAATAATTTATGTATAAGAATTCAAACAGCTATTACAAATAGCAATATTTTACATTATATTATTAATGTTTTACAATTTTATTGACAAAACAAAAGAAAAACTTACCGTTGGGACAAATACATCTTGCTTACGTCTTCTCCACCAAGCATGTAAGCATCTATAATATGTAACGCAGATGTCTTCAAAAAACACTTTCCTGCCAATCTTGATTCGTATACTAGCTCAGCATACACAAGAGTATTGGATGGTAGCTCGATTTTTACTGAATCGCTTCCTATCATCACCCATTTGCCTGTGACATACCGGTACACCTGTTGTCTTCCTAGGCTCAAGTAAAATGTCGCTTTCTTTTCTGTCTCTACATATGCGCCCGAACCACATGGCATACAATACCAATCATAGGGCTGATTTAAAATCGTACCCCGTATGTTGTCGTTCGTCAATTCTGTGGCTTCACATTTGAGTAACTCAATGGAGTTATCTAATATTTCTTGCGCCTTGTCATGCGGCTTTGATATTTGAGGCCTTACTCTAGTTCTGTCCGGTAAATTCCAATATTTAAGGCATTCTTTTCGCATCTCTGCTTGCTTGGGTTCAATCAATGTTGAATCTTCGCAAAATGCGGCAATTTTTAACAAATTTACTATTTGTTTTTTTCCTAAAGTATCATTGGAATTTCTCAGGTATCTTAGAAATTCGGTGTCCTCTTCTAATATATCGAGAGGTACTATTTCGATTATATCGTTGATATCGTCTCTCTTTGAAAGTGAGCGATTAATATGGGAAAGATAATTCATCACCATGTGCGTATCTTTTTTCTTCCCTTTACAGATCAAGTAACGTTCTGAATTAGCTGGTCTGGAAGTATTGGGCTTGAAAATTGAAATACTTTCAAAACAATGATACATCAAATAAACAAGTCCAGCGCTAAAAGGTGTAAACAGATCAAACAGTTTTGTAACAAAATGTCCACCTGGTCTCACTATCATCAACGCCACTAAGCACTGACATAGATATAATTGCTTCGATAAAATCTCCTGTATATTTTCTTGACCTTCCACTGAAAATCCTCCGTCCGACATCATGAAATGTACGCCTTTACCATTAGTATGTCTCATCACCAACGATCTAAACTCCTTTTGATTTTGCTCATCAAATACATCTCCATTTTCTTTGGGACCGTAAAATGGATGAAAAGTTTCACATGGGCCAGCAAAGAAATCATCCAACTTAAAATCATTTTCTTTCTTCAAAGTGAATCCAAATCCTTTGGCATGCCACTTCTTTCTTGACAAAACATATTCGCTAAAACCACCTGGACCAGCACAAACATCTGCGAAGTACAACAATTCATTGGGATCAACATTCTTCGGATCAGTAAACATAAAATCACACGCTCTGTCTATATTCGCCATCTTGACTGCTGCACGATTCAAGAAGTTTACACAACGAATTGTTTCGTATGGATTTGAACGCGTTCTTGCCTTACGAATTTCTGTTTTGTCCAATCTGTCAAATATAGTTTTAGAATTAACGATCTGCTTCAGAATGTTCGGATGGCAAAACTTGGTTTCGTCATCTATAATCTGTTTCCTCGGTCCATGCTTTATCCAGTGTGAATTTATATCTTCAGCAAAAGGTATACTAGAATGTATGTTTGATAACCATTCAATATCTTCTATAACTTTTATTTCTTCTTCTAGAGGATTCCACTTGAGACTTGCTTCCTTGAGTCCTGGTACGTAATGTCCAAATCCTCTTCGTCCACATTGCTTAACTGCTTCTATAGGTTCGACACGACCTTGATCATTTTTTCCAAGACCTTTACCTACTTTGTGCCCCATTTTCTGCATCATATGTTGAATCTTCGGAGGTACATTACTTTTACTGCCATAAACATCGGCATTACCCACTACCTCATTTTTTTCAACATATTTTTCTCCTAAAGAGGTATTAGTATCGAACGTTTCTCCATTATTCAATTTCTTCCTTTTACTCTGATGTTCATAAATATTATCATGACTGGTATCCATTTTATCATATTTATGTTTCTTACTATACGGTTTGCTGTCATAGACAGCATTGATGCGATTGAAGCTTGCAGCACTCGACGGTAGCGCCATCTGTCGGCGGCTTGGCGCAACTGGTAGCACACACAAGCAAAGCTCTTCTTCTTCTTCCTTAAATAATGGCTCCCGCCTCCAAGCCCTCAAGCAATGAAATAGGAAGTCGATACGGCCAGATCACGTCTTTAAAGTACACCGTACAAAAATATGAAAACGAACGGGTGATGCAATGCCCGCGAAAATGGCGTTGCTCGACCGGTTTCCGGGCGCCTGCGTCTACGGCGTCGTCACGTCGCAATAACGCGCGTCATAAAAGTCCCAGTCGTCGAAAAGTGCAAAATGACGAACAATCGAGACGAGCTCATCCGCAGACACGTATCTGTGTGACACAATGCACAGTCAAAGTCGGCAACACTTTCAAAAACATACAATGTAAAGCACCCGAACCGAAACACGTCCATCACTGGTCACAGTCACGGTCGAATGGTTCGTTGGACTCGTAAGCAAAGCACGTGTACGTGTGACGCAGTGTTGCCACATTCTGGCGAAGCAGTTTTCCTATTGGGACATGAAAATCTCCCTAGTTTTCCATTTAATTAAATAGTTTTCCATTTCATAAAATTACTGTTTTTTCCAAATTTTCCACTAATTTCTCATATTTCTCTTAAATTCACAAAATTTTTGTTTCTTTACACATTTTTTTAAATAAAATCATGAATTATTTTTTTATTAATGTATTACAATTTGGAATTATAATAAATATGAAACAAAACACACATATAAAGGAAAATATATAATAAGTACTATAAATTAATGAATAATATATTTTTATTGAATAATATATTTATAATATGAATAATATATTTATTGTGCATTTATTTGATTAAAAATAATAACATATAATGCGTATGATTTTAAAATAAATCTAATACATTATCCACAATGGAAGTTGTAGCGGTCGTAGGATCTCAAATCATAGAAAATTGACCAATCACAGATGAATATGAAAAGTATGATCGACTCTGCTTGGTCAATTTTCTATTGAGACACTATTACAGCTATAACTTCTGTTGTAGACTTCGTATTAGAAATCAGACTAGTAAGACTAGTAATTAACATAAATTAGTTCCATATCGAGCATAAAACAAAATTTTCATTTGTTAAAATATTAAGATTGCGACTACGGCAATTCGGTCAAAAGAGAATTATATTTCAAATACAAATTTCAGATAACATACGTTTGAGTAAAAATTCTTATATTACCTTCTTACATTAAATGCAACGAACATACATTACAATCAGAATTCTTAAATAGCAAAGTGTCTACAGAATCGGGATGATGAGCTAACCATTGGTCTGTTTTTTGTTCCTGCACTAGACTGAACTAGAACTCTCTTTCTCACTTTTTACAAATATCAAACATATACCTATCTCACTTTAAGTTCTAAAAGTGTACACTAGTTCAGCCACAGAAAACAGACCTCATATCTATCGAACAAAAGCTAATCACACACACATGAAAGAGTGGTTGCTATGTTCTAAACGAATTACTTTTGTTTCATGCACGCAAACTTTAGATTATAGAATAAAATAAATCTCTAGTAACGCTAATAACTTCAACACGACTATTTAAAAAATATATGGTTTAAATTACACAAGCCAACATCATTTACTACTGTTAAAAATCCCTAAATTTTAGCTTATTTTCACAAAAAATCTATTTTTCCCTATTTCATTTTTTTTCTTGTAATGCCTGGTTTATGCTTCGGTCTTAAGGTCTTAACCCTAAAATTCAGCCAATAGAGTTAAAATTTCGGTTAGAACTGGCAGCTTTATTGGTTGAATTTTAAGATCTTAGGATTAAGACCTGAAGCATAAACCAGGCATAATTCTCCTTAGGTTTAGGGAAATTCCCTAGCATCTGACAACACTGGTGTGACGTGACCATGGTGGAATACAAATTACAAAGTGAAGTTCTGATTGGCTACTACTTTCCACTTTTCCGTCGAGGTGTGAACCCGCCCTAAAGTTAACGTTCCATAAGAACGGAAATCTACTCAGCGGAATGGAACAGCAAGACCAATCACAACTCCGTAATCATTACTTTCCTTTCTATGATGCTTTCCTTCTGCAATTGTGATTGGTGTTTTGTTTCGCTAATAGTATTTCCGTTCCATGAGACACCGGCCTAATGGGACTAAACAACTAAGATTCTTTTTGTCGCTGAAACGGCTAATGCCTAATTTACACTAGGCGCGATGAGCGATGCGCGACGAGCGATAACCAATAAGAACTCTGCTTTACATCGTCGTGTGAGCTAAAGCAAAGCTTTTATTGGATATCGCTCATCGTTCATCGCCCATCGCTTCCAGTGTGAATTAGGCATAATTGGAGCATTGGAACGGCTCATGAAAATGTACTTTTAAGTAAATACAGAACTTAGGCCGGTATTCATAGTCAGTTCTTATTTCAAGACTGTCTTAAAATAAGTCTTGAAATAAGAACCGACTATGAATACCGGCCTTTGATTGGTTCGTAACATCTTAAGACGATCTTGAATATAAGAATTGACTATGAATACCGGCCTTAGCTTATATTCAATTTATTTCAATCCATTCTCATTATAAGATATGATCGAAAATCGACGTGTCTTTTTCGAAATGTAAGAAATAGACTCCAATTAACTTTATTTTTAAGTTATTTGTTTCTATGATAAGTGCTGATTAAAAATATAATAATATAGTTCGCATATAAATATATTAATAAATTAGTTATACTTTATTATATATTTTATGAAATTTCTTGGCACTATAAAATTAAATTACATTAAACAATAATACAAAATTATAGGATTTAATTAATAGGTATAATCAATATACAAATCTGTTTTTTCTCGGTATTTTCAGATAGAGCGTTGTTTACAAGTACATCACAATTGTTACATAAGAGCAAATTATTTTGATAATTTTATAGCTCTGTTGTAAAAATTAAGAAAAAAGTAACAGTTTTGTAAAAATATTTTCATAAAAGTGTATTTGCATTATCGTTGAATATACTGTATTATCAGGATTTTGACATCTTTATATATTCCTATTATTTTATTGATATATTTATGTATCTGGACATCTTGACTAGACTGTTCCTTGATGGCTAAAAAATTTTAAGAGAATTTTTTATGTGATATTCTATATCAAACACAAATGTCATCATATGTCAATATTACAGAAATAATATAAATTATTCAATGTATAACACTAAATATCCTGATATACATATATATTCATAATTAGATAAACTTGACATTATAAAAAGACAAACTTGATCGGTGGAAATGGAGATGATATCGAATTCTAATGTATCACTTCGCACGATGTCTGTATACATGTTCAAATACACAAATACAGTATTTATGTAAATACGATACAATATATACAATATACAGTGCATCACACTGAAGAAAAATGGTTATCCGAGTGATACATATTTAAGGAATAAAACAGAGGGAAGAGGGATGGTGAGGAGACATGATCGGGACATCTGGCTTACTCCTCCAAGTCCAGGTCCCCCAATTCTTCCTCCAAGCCCTCTAAGTCTTCTTCCACGAAGAGATTTTCATTAATGGCTACGGCAACCGCACCCTCATCTATAGTTGCTGCAATAGAAATTAAATATTAATTACTATAAATAATATATAGTGTAATAATAAATATTTTTATTGCCTTTGATAAAAATGTAAATTTTAGCAGAGATATTATTTACACACGGAGATATTTAATGACTGTACATAATTTATCTTATATAAGAATTTAAAATAACAAATTATTAATGATTTGTATACTTCTTAGTGTAAAGCATTTTATCAGAAAATTGTCATCAAACATATTAACGTTAATTAATATAATTTTAACCTGTAGTGTCTTTATTGCTATCAGTGGTATTGTTAGCCTTTAACCGATCTACAGATGCCACTGTGATACCATTAGTATCGATTTCGCTAGCTTCAAAAGCAAGGCGGTCTGTATCGAGTTCTTTATACTGTACATCTTCAGACTCATCTTCTTCGCGAACATAACTAGATATTGCTTCGTCTCCTTCATCATCAATACCTACATTTAAATAATGTTGATATTTAAATAGTTATTAAGCAATTAAATAATAAATTCTATATTGGCAAAATTTTAATAAGCTATAATGAGAACATACCATCGCCTGCTGCAAGATCTGGATTAAAGTAAAACATTTCTCTTCCTGATATACCGACTTGGCGACCAGCCTTATAATCACTTCGTTTCTTCTCTTCATCTTTGATCGCTTGTTCCTGTTTCTCTTTCAACTTTCTCTTCTTCCAAGCCAAAAATGTCTCTAGCGTTATTTTAGTCTGTCAAAAATTTTTATTTTATAAGAAATATAGTCTTACTGTTAGTATATATTATTAAGTACAAATTAGTTCGGTCCGTTTTCCTAAATTGGATTGCCTTCAAAGACTAGTCATTTTTTCGAGATGGAATTCGAAAATTGCCTGAGAGATGGGAAAAAGTAATAGCCAGTGATGGACAATACTTTAATTAATCTGTTCATTCATTTTGTTTTGAAATAAATGCATTTTTGAACACAAAAAACGGACCGAACTAATTTGTACACCTATATTATGTAAAATTTATTTTTTCTTATCTAAGAGTTTTACATATTTTATAATAGCATATTCATACCTGATTAGGTCCTAAATTGGCCCTTTCTGTTTCTATTAGATCTTCTAAGGAAATCTCGTCTTTTTTGTCTTCCTTTTTCTTATCTTTTTTCAAAACAAATCCAGGAGGTAAAGCATGCCTATAGATACATTTTTGACCAGATGGACATTCCCAAAACCAACCATATTTCGACTTCTCTACTGCTTCTAAGAAGTGTTTGCATATCTAGCGAAAAAGAAATATCTTGTTTCATTTTCCCATAAATTAAATAAACAGTTGATTTCTTATAGTTAAATTATTATAATACTATTCATA